ACCCGCCGCTTTTCTCACCATAGATGAAATCTACGATGGTCAAATCCCTTCCTTGATTCCCACGCAGATCATCCTCAATCCCTGTTGTCGGAGATTGTGACTCATGATATTGCTTGCAGGAAGAGAAGTATATAAGCTCGAGGATTCAACGTTCGAGATCCGCGTTCACCTGCCCCAGGGCGAAAAGACCAAATAAACTCTTTCTGTATTCATGTCGCTCACGTACGGACAAGTGAAATTTGATGTAACTCTGCAACCAGAGCAGTTGGAGTGCTGAAACTTTCTGGGCGTTACCCAGGACCGTATTTGAGTGACCTCAAGCAGAGAAGTCATTCACGTTCCACCCACGCATGAACACGTGAAATTTGACGTAACCCCGCAACCGAAGCATCCACGGCGCTGAATTTTTTCGGGCATGGATTGGGAGTTATTGTAATTATTTTTAACAGTCGTGGTGCCCAGTCCCAATTCTTTTAGCTAGAAGCATCTGCCGGGAAGAACGTGCCACTGGCGAAAAAAACCTGTGGGGGAACTGTGCAAAAAACGCATCCTCGTACCGCAGCCAGTACGCTTTCGACTAAGTTATAATTTTTAAATTTTTTTACCCCTCGATAGGAATCTTTTTCCAGAACTCCTTGGAAATCACTTATCCCTAGTACTTTTATTTAGGCCACAAACTTTTGCTTGTCGTGTATTTGTGATTTTTTTTTTCCTCTCTGTCAAGTAGCAGTTTTTCAGTGTTTAGTTTCTTAGATTTTATTCGATGATCCTATGAAGCCATTTCATTGCTTTATTTCCCCTCTGCAGGTAAACATTACATGATAATCTGGATGCTAATTTATTGTCTTGTAATGCTCATTATAAGTCAGTTACTTCGAGTATATAAAGCTGACAATGAAGTGTTTGCTTTTATTTCTGTAAATGGAGGTGGGAAATCTTGTTATTCTTTTCAAGAAATGCTCAATTTCTCGATATTGATACAAGAATCATATTATGTACGTTGCTAGCCCTGAGGACTTCAGCACAGCCCTACGACTTAGCCGTGGATATAAATTGGTATTTGCAGCAATTCCGGTCCCTTTGCACATTCATCGTCTTTTACTAGTAGTTATAATGAATGTAAGAAGGCGACGGATGTGAAATGGAACCGGATTTGCTCCATATACCACTTTATACCCTTAAATACGGCTAAGTCTCTGGGTTATGCTAGTAAGTTCTCAGGACTAGCAACGTACATAATTTGATTCGTACCAGTATCGAAAAACAGAATTTTTTTGAAAAGTGCATTGCTCTTTTTTTTTTTGTCAAAAATTCTTCGAGCATACCGAATCATCACGTTTTTTCGCGTTTTTAGTGATAATTTTTTTTTTTTTTGTGTATTTAATAATTGATGAATAATTACCAATCACAGTGGTAATTATTCATTTGATTTTTTCAAAACTATTCGATGTTTCATGCTGTATGCTTCGCTTGTATGTTGCGTAATGGTATTTTTTGACGTAATTGACGTAATTTTACGTTTTAACGTAATTGACGTTTTGTCGTAATTTAATACGCCGCGAATTGTGTCTGTATATTTAATAAAGAATAAAAAAAAGGAAGTTTGAAGGTGCCGAGATTGATGGACGTATAATAGCGATTTGTTTGTTGATGGACCTATTGGGAACAGCTATTTCTGTATTGGATGCAGTTAATTATTTCTGGCGCTGTAAATTAATCAGAATTGTGAACGAATCATAACGAGGAAGATTAGTAGAAAAGAAATTTAAAGGTAATTTTAAATTCCATGAATATTTTTGGATATTTGGATATTCGATATTTTTTGTTTGTTGAATACTTTGGTTGTTTGTTAAACTATGGTTTGGATTTTCGAATTCTTTTTTTTTTCAGACAAGCAGAAAATTGCGAATTCAAAAAGGGAGCATGAACACTGGGACAAGTGC